ACCTTCAGAGTCAAACGAGAAATCAGAACGGGCAGATAGCCTCAAGGCCTCTGGTCCCTTCCCCAAATGCCTGCCAAATAGTTGTGTGGTGCCTCGCTCGAAGGGCTTCCTCCCATGAGAACCCTGTCATCACTAAAGGTCAGTCCTTGGTGTCCAACACATCCTCCGGTCGTGTTCCCCTCCACACCCTTGGTATTTGCACCTTTAGGACATTCCTTACAACCAGACAGAAAAAAAAAAAATTAAAAAAAAGTATGTGCCTCATTCTCTATTGAAATTCAAATTCGAAGGAAATTGCTCCAGCCCTCCTTAGGCTAGTGGCCTGTCCTTGGGCTAGCAATCCTTCTATCCTAGTGCCCGCTCCCTTGGTCCTGGAGGTTTTTCTCTTTTTCAGCGTCCATTTTCGTCTGTATTTAAGGAGTCTTTGCAGACCTGACCAAGCTGGCATTTCAGAGCTTCTTTGTCTTCCCCTCAGGCCGATCAGCTTCCTGCAAGGAGCATCCTTTCGGGACAGGACTTCAGGACTCTGCCAGGCCTACTCACGCAGATCCTTTGAAAGACACACTACCGAATGGTCTTCCTTCTCGAGACACCCTGCCCCAAAGACAGAGCAAGGTTCCTCACCTGTGTGATTTGTAACACAGGCAAATTAGTAACAAATGCTGACAGTGAGCGGTTTATTCCGTTTTATCTCTTTTCCCCCTTTCACTGAATCAAGGCTGGTGGTAAACAGTCCAGCCTGGCCACTATCAAGCACAGGAAAAAGGATGCCATTTCCCTACTGGTGGGCATGAAAGCTAAATCCACAGGCACACTCGGGGGCTGCCTGGGGGCTGAGGAGAACTCAGTGACGTGCCTGCTCACCTCCGAAGCCCTGCACTGACAGCTGCCCCTGTTCGAATTCTTTCTTTTCCATGGGTCCTTCCTGACACCCCATGCTACCGGCAAAGAAAAGGAGAGCGTGAGAAGCAAAAGCAGTTAGTCAGACTTACAGAGCAGATCAGGGCACTTCAAGTTCATAGAATCTTTACACCAGAGGATTATTTTAGGGCTCATCCACCCACTCATATTACAGCATGAAAGAACTGAAGATCTGGGGATAAGTGACTTGTTCAAGGTCACAGTGGGCCACAGCTGAGAGTTCCAGGTCCTAACAGGCATCAAGTCCCCAAGCTGGGCAGCAGCATTCAACGTCTCCCCCAGCCCATCCTTCATGGCTCATTCAGTTTTCTCCTGTCCAGGAAGTGTCCCCAGCTTTCTCTGAGTCTCAAGAGATATCTTCCCTCCCTGATGTTACAGAAAGTGTCCTCTCCATCACTCCCTGGCACCACAGCATCAGATGCCCTTTGATATCCCACGAGTCATGAAACTTTGAGTTGGCAGGGTCACTGGAGGTCATTTAACTCATGCCTCTTTCTCACACTCTCATACCTCAGCACACCAACGCAGCTAAGTTCCCTTGGGAAAGGTTCTTGTGTTGCTCGTTACATTTCTCTTCAAGACTCTGCTCTATGCCCTACATAAATGTAACCAGCCCCTCGATGCATATTTGGCTCAAGATGGCTTGAGTTTAGCAATTACCAAGAATGTAGGTGCCTGGTGGACTGAGATTCCAGTCCCAGGTCTGCATTTACTCACACTGAGCCCTTGGACTAGGCACCTCTCTAAAGAATGTTGCCTAATCTGTAAAATGGGAATCAATTACAGCAGTGCCCCCTCCCCCATATTCCATGTGAGTAAATAATAAAAGGCAAGAGTAAAGCTCTTTGCACCACATTAAGGATGCAACAACTATCTGCTATTCCTTGATCAAGTTTAAGAAACTTCACTTTATCAGTGCTACCAACTCAGACTGTAAAGAAGAGGCCCAGACATAGAAACTTGGGGGAGGGGGTGGTGTTTCACCTCTAAGGGAACTTCCACCTACATAAAGCAGGCTGGAACATGAAGGGAAGATTAGAAACACGAAGGAGAATGGACCTGGAGGAAAGTCTTTTATGTCTGGGCACTCCCAATAATAGAGCCAATAGCTCAAACAAGAGAGGCAGAACGGAGGGAGGGTGGGCCAGGGATGCCAGTGACTTTGGTGAGTAGGGATGGTAGAAACGGTGTGCAAATTCACTTTAAGGACCCCCAACTGGACTGGGAGTAAAGTGGGAACGCGACCTTTCACTTGTTTGTTCACCCCCGGCCCACTTTAACACCAGGGACAATTTACCGCCTTGAGCTCTGGGTCCACAACCCTAAGCGTGGCCCAAAGGCTTTGGCAGACACTACCACCCCCTAGCGGTGGCTCCACACACCCCACTATTGGCAAGATTGAGCATTTACCGACTTCGCATGCACATCTGTGGCATATGCCATCTCCAAATCATGTGAACTGGCAACCTAAGAGTGAAAGAGGCATTCAACTCACGGGAGACAAACACGAGACAAGGATGTTTAGAAGGTCTGAAGGGATGATGGGATGGGGCTGCCTGGGGACCCTGGGGGAGACGTGGCATAAATGACTCTTGCGTCACCCCCCTGCAGCCCTCACTTTCAGCCAGCCTGGCCCTCCCGAGCTCACTGTGCACTCTGTGTTTACAGGCAAACAGTGGAAGACCAACACAAACAGAAAGCCCACGTCTCCCTACACAGCTCCTGCGATACTTGGCCATCTGGTGACTACCTCGCTAGCCAAATCCCTGGCAGGAGTGCCTTGAGCTGCCAGTCCAGGGCGCTGGGGGAGCAAGAGGAGGAGGAGGAGGACCCTGAACCCCCAAAGGGCTCAGAGCCGCCAAGGGGGACGGCGCCCGGCACTCCACAGCAGGCAGGCTCCGCCGGGCTCAGCCGCCTGCGTCAGAGAAGGCAGAAGGCTCCGAGTGGAGGGTACCGGGAGTCTCTCCGGCTGAGGCATGGGCCCTGGGGGATTTGAGTCGCCCAGTTCCTCCCTCAGCTCCTCCTCACTCAGCCTGCCTCAGGCTCCCAGGCATTCATTCCCTCTTGAAAGCCAAAGTTTGAAAAGGCAGGGGCTGCCAGCTCCAAGAATTCTGGGATGACTCCTATAGCTGGATGGACCCAGTCCTCACATCTGAGGGGAGTCGGAATGCTCTGGGGTTCTCTCCTCCAAGTCATGCCATATGCAACCAGGAACGTTCCCCCTTTCCCCCTCACTTGCACAGCTTTTTAGGGGGATTCCCACTCCCGACCTCTCTGGACAACCTAAAGTAGAGAGATCAGGAGGCTGGACAAGGGGACAAGGTTGGGACTGGAAGTGTAGAAGGCACACCTTCCATTTCTCTGGAAGGGCCCTTGCCTGCCTGGGGTCGCAGGAGCTGGGCAGGAACCCAAGGTTAGCTCCTCAGCTAAGGATAAGCGCCAGCCCCATCGCCTTATTGGAAACGGGCATCCCACAATTGCACGTGGGAAGGGTCACTGGGGTGTGCAAACGTGTGTGTGAATGTGTATGTATCCACGCAGGCGTGTGTATGCTTGAATGTGTGTGTGTGTGTGTCGCACGCCAGACACGCCGCCGCGGAAAGTCCCCCTGGGAACCTGCAAGCCGGTCTCCCGCCTAGCATCCCAGAAAGCATGGCAGGCTCAGGTTACAGCCAGCCAGGGAGAGCCCGGGGCCAGGAACCCGAGGCACAAGCTCAGACCACGAGAGGGCCTGGCACTCGCTCAGATCTCCAAAAGCCCGGCACGAAAGGCGAGGGGGTGGGGGTGCGGGGGGGGAAGGAAGGGTCTCTGGACAGAGGAGTCTGGTCCATTGATTACTCTTTGGGGGTTCTTGGGCGAGCAAAGAGTTAACCTCAGAGGCTCAAGCCCGGATCCTGAAAGCATGTGACCTCGAAGGCCCACCCCGAGGTGCCCGAGCCGAGCCGGACCCCGGTGAGGCCAGGGACCCGGCGAAGGGGGTCTGGAGTCTGCAGCGAACCCCAGCGCCTTCCCGGAGCTATCTTTGGCCAGACTCCGACAACCAATCGCACCCCGCGCCCCCAAGAGGGGAGGGGAGAGAGAGCGATCAACCAGCGCGGGAGAGCAAAGGGGGAACAACATTTTTGTAAACGCTCTCCGAGATAATTAAGCTATCAATTACCCGGGTGGGAATCAGCTGTGCTTCCCGCAGCTCCACGGAAGGGCCGACTCCTCCGGGATTCGCGCCGGGAACCAGCAGGCAGCAAGCTGCTGGCGAACTTTCTGATTAACTTTTCCGTTTGAGCCCCCACCCCACCCCTTCCCTCTCCCCTCTCCCCTCTCCCCTCTCCCCTCCCCATGTCACGCCTTTAAGTTATTATTAGCCCAGTGAGTGAGCTGCGAGGACAAACCTGCTCTAGCTTGCGAGGGGGTTAGGAAGGCGAATGCGACAACGGGGATGGAAGGAGAATCAGAAAGTAGAGACCTAGGGTTCTGAACCCCAGGGCTCAGAAACCGCTAAATCCTCCCCGACCCCATTTCATAGATGGCTAAAACTGAGGCCCAGAGAGGGGAAGAGACTTGGCCAAGGTCACCCAACCCACAGGGAAACCGAGTGTATGCGGACTGAGGGATTCTACATGGAGCTACTGCGCTCCGATTGTCTAGAAAACCTATCCCGAGGAGCAGAGCCAAGAACTCCTAGGCGAGAGCGAGGGGGCGGTAACAGCCGGCGGCCCACGGCCGTGCCCGGAGAAGCGGTGGGCGGCTGGACCCAGACCTGGCTTGCGAGCGGGGTTCACCGCGGCCCCTAGCGCGAGTACTCGCATCAGCTGGGGTCTCGGCGTCCGGGGTGGACCGCGGCAAAGCTCAACGTCTGCACTGAGAGACGGACCCCACTGCGGGAGGGCTGGCACGCCCCCCGGCTCCCGCCACGCGCTCATCCCAACCACCTGTACGCCCTCCGGGCCCCCCAGCTGCCCTCACTCGACCCTGAGCGGGGCAGCCCGGGGCGGGAATCCCCAGGGCGCCCCCACCCGTGCGGCTTCAGTCAGGGGCTCCCGGTTCCCCGGGACCCCGCGAGTCCCGGCGCCAAGCCTTACCCAGGGTGAAGAAGGGCAGCTCCGTGTTGTCCAGGTCGTCCTGCACCGCGACGCGCCCCGGCAGCTCGTTACGCACAAAGAGCAGCAGGCGCGACTCGGCGGCGGTGCCCGCGGAGCCGGCGGATCGCCCGCCCCCTTCGCTGGCTCTCCCCCCGGCTCAGACCCGGAGCGTTTCGGAGGCTCCGCCCGGCCTCGTGCAAATCCCAGTCGCCCCCGCCCCCCCGCCTTTCCCAGGATGCCCCGATCCGCCCCGCACAATATTCTTTAGCCACGGCACCCCTTTCCAGATTCCTAAGACTCGGGGACCCCGGGCGCTCCCCCTAAGTCCACCTAATAACCCAGCTCTCCCAGCTTCACCCCAGCCCTCGGTCAACCCGGAGGCTGCACCTGGGGGCGCGCCGTAGCCCAGCCTTGCTCCAGGCCCCGCCTTCTGAGAGGTAGGGGGACGCCTCTGGATGGCCAGGACTGAACTTTGTCTCCCCTTAAGCCCAATAACAAGTCCTGTACCCTTTCTTGAGTCCCGGAAATAATTCCTTGTAGTCTCTAAGCCCCCCTCCCCATCCGCTTGCCCACCACTCTGGCCTTCATTCTCCCACCACTAGGACCCCCAACCCATCTACCCAGGTCTCGGAGGGGGCACCGAAAGCTGATGAACTCCCCCCTCTAACCCCCAACCCCGCCCCTACACGGACCCGGGCAGGATGTTCTGGCCCCCAGCCTGCGCCTGGCGAGCCAGCGCTTCTCTTCTGGATGCCTGCTCCTAGCGAGGAGCTGCTCTACTTGGCTGCTCTGTGTGCGAAATTCCTGAAAAGGGTGCGAGGTAGGGGTTACTCCCTCGGCTTCTGGCTCCCAAGGGCTCCTGTGTCTACTGCCTGAGTCCCAGAGGAGGGGTCTGTTCACCCACTCTTCATCCCCGCACCCGTCCTTTTGCTCCTAGATTCTAGTTGCACTGTAAACCGAGGTCCCCAGACACAGGACCACCTTTTGGCCCAGACCTCGGATCCCCCAGGAAGTCATCCCCTCTATAGGGATCTGGACCTCGAGCAATGCTCCCCTCACTTCACTCCCCCCTCTTTCTTCATCTTTCCTCTCTCTGTTCTCTCTTTCATCTCTCCAAATACACATTTCATTCTTACTTGGCTTGACTTTAATCTTATAAATGCTCCTTACCTATTATTTGTGAGCCATTTCCCATCTCCCCGGGTTTTTCTTTTTTTGCCCGTCTGTGCTTTTGGTGTGGGCTCCTCCCTTAGTCACTTCTCTCATGTTAGCTCTCCCGGCTTCTGCCACTTCTCCATCCTGTCTTTAACCCTTCATGGGAATGGCCTTTCTCCCTCTCCCATCACATTTTATTTACTTTTTCATGACTTTGAATAAAGGGAGAGGACTTGAAAGAAGGAAAAAGTTAAAACCTGCATTGTGACCTTGGGCTTAATTATAGTGTTTAGTAAGCATTCTCCAAGTGCTGGGCCTGTACCTATGTTAACTTTTGTACATGAACATGTTCTAGTGAGACGGGTGTCAGGATTCCCATTTTCCAGATGAGGAGACTGAGGTCAGGAGGTCAGGGAAGTAAAGGGGCCTCCCACGGTTACAGAGAGAATGAGCACAAGAGCGGAGATCTGAACCCCAAGCTCCAAAGCTTTGGCTGTTTCGACTAAATCACACTGTCCTCAGTGACCTTGGGAAAGCCCACCCATCAAAGATATCGTGAAAGGCATGTCTGCATGAGCACATTTGGGTCTTTTTCGGCTCAGAGGCTTGTAAGGGATGCTTCTCCTGTCTTAGTTTACTCAGCTGTGAACCTGGCGTGGGGGTGGGGTCAGAAATCTGGCCTTCCAAGTCCTCAGATCCTAAATTGTCTCCTGCCGCCCTGGTGCCTGCTCCAGTTCATTTACTCCTCCAAAATATGTCGCCCTGGCTCCCTCAGTCTCTCCTTTGTACCCTTACAATCCGCCACTATCCTCTGCAATGGGGCTTTCTGATTCTCTATGCCCCTTTCTTCAAATATGCTGACATAGTCCATTTATAGAAGTGCACACCAGGAAAAAAGGGCTCCCTTATGTAAGGCAGAGTCTGTGCAAGTCCTTCATGGACCTCTGGTACAAAGGCCTGTCGAATGAGACCAACACTTTCATTCATTCATTCACCACCGAATATCTAGGGCTCCTACCAGGCACTATAAGGAGATGCAGAGATGGATAAACACAACTCCTGCCCTTGGAGAGCTTATAATGTTGGGGAGGGAAGTGTGGGGATGAGAGAGCACAGGAATATCTCAGATACCAGGCAGGCAGGCAGACGTGTGTTTCTCTTATGAGATGCTCTGAAACATGTGCTTGGAGAAATCAGAGCAAGCTTCCCAGAGGAGGTGGCAATGAAATTGAGCCATGTAGGTCTCACGGCATGGGAATGGACATTCCAGGTTAAAGCTGGCATTTGGCATTCCTAGCCGCTGCTCAGTGTCTGAATGAATCCCTTTCTTAGTTTAGAGGGTGCTTTATTCTCTGAGCCAGAGTCCACTTCCCATGAAGAGGCTACAATTTCCAGCTACTTTCAGCTTCCACTGCAACTAGGGTTGAGCGTGTGACTCAGAATTCACCAATCAGGTTCACCCATGCCAGATGCTGGGAAAGAAGCTAAAAATTAGGCAGAATCCTGTTGGGCACCAAAGTGGTAAGAGGTGGGGCAGTTACATCCAGATTTCAACACTAGTGGAAATGGTTCTAACACTGCTGCTTAGAGCACAGTTTCATTTGGTGTCAAAAGTGTGAATTACCCTGTTGGTACCTAGCTGCAGCTACCATAGCTCCATCGGCCATTCCTGTGATGTGACTTGGAGTGGTGCTCTTGACTTCATGAACTTCAGCCCAGATCCCGTGACCTCCTGGAGATTCTGAGTAATATCACTACCAGATTCTGTTACTGCTTAAATGATCAGAAGTGATATCTGTTGCTTGCAACTGACACCCCTGACTGAGAAGAAAAAGTGGAAACCAGTGGAAGGCACCAAAGGCCAAGCTCACAAAGGGAAATAGAGGACGTTCTTTAAGGGGGAGTTGAGGTTGAAGTTGAGACAAAAAAGGCAGGCAAGGAATTTCCTGTTCATGTTGAGGAGGACCCACTTTATCTAGTAGGCAGTATTGAATTGGGAACAGCTACAGGAAAATAATTCATACTTCTGAGCAGATAGTCTGTAGCTTCAAAACTTTATGCTGAACATCAATGAATGATGATAACAATTCCTGCCTTCTGGTGGTAGTGAGACTTCAGCAACTATTATGCAAAGTGCTTAACATAGTAGGTGCTCAATAAATTATGACTGCTGTGTTGATGTCTAATCTCGGCAACATCTGGAGGGAGGCTTGTTATCCCCACTTGATAGAGTCAGAGTTTGAGGCTCAGGGAAGCTAAGGAACTTGACTTTGATCACGCAGTTACCAAGTGTTGGAACTCACGTCTACGTGACTTCTAGAACCTCGCTTTCTGCAGCAGCACACCACCTTCCTGCCCTATCCCCCCCCCCCCCCCCCCACCCTCAGGATGCTAGGACCTCCCTGGTCACACTCTGATGCCCTCTCTTGTGGCCACTGATACCCTTTTTTTCGCCCTTCCCCTCTCTTATTAAGTCACAGTTCATTATTGACTTAATTAGTTACAATTCATGATTGATGTAATTTATTCTTCTCTAGGGTCCTTTCATACCCCCATCTCTGACTCCAATGATCTGAAATTCTTTTTCATTCTTCCTAACCCCTTCCAGCACCCCAGCAAATGTTTCCTCTTGCTTCATCTTTCACGTTTGCCTTTCTAGGTTGCTTTGTAACTTTTTTTTTCCCTTTTTTCTTCCTCCACCTTACTGTACTCTTTTTTTTTTTTTAAACTTCATCTAGTCAGAGCTATGATTTTTCTGGAAGTCATGTATGAATGTGATAGTTAGACCATAAAGAAGGCTGAATGCCGAAGACTTGATGCTTTCAAACTGTGGTGCTGGAGAAGACTCTTGAGAGTCCCTTGGACAGCAAGGAGGTTAAACCAGTCAATCCTAAAGGAAATCAACCCTGAATATTCATTGGAAGGACTGATGCTGAAGCTCCAAAACTTTGGCCACCTGATGTGAAGAGCTGACTCAGTGGAAAAGACCCTGATGATGGGGAAGACTGAAGGCACGAGGAGAAGGGGATGGCAGAGATGGTTGCATGGCATCATTGACTTAATGGACATGAGTTTCAGCAAGCTCCAGAAGATAGTGAAGGACAGAGAAGCCTGACGTGCTGCAGTTCATGGGGTCACAAAGAGTGGACACAACTGAGTGTCTAAACAATTCACTCCGCATGACTGAGACAGCCTAGTGTGGTTGACACAGCAGAGACTACAGAGAGACAGGCTTTGGTTTGTATGTCATCTCTGCTGTTTCCCTACTGGGTCGAATTACTCAGTGATGCCCCTGTTAGATCTTGTTTGTGAAAGAAGGAAAGAAGTGCCCATGTCTCAGGATCATTGTGCAGATTAAATGCGGTCACATGTGTGAACATGTCTAGCCCATATGAGGTTCTGCCAGCACTATAAAGTAAATCCAAGCATCCTCTGGTATCTCACTCCCTGCTTTCCTCTCCAGTCCCTTGGGTCAGGATCCTCCCCACCATCGCTCTGTTCTGGCCAGATGCACCTCTTTCCTGTTCCTGGATTGTTTCAAGCACTGGTGCCCCCAGTGTTTTCCCAAAGGCTCTTCCTCTGCCTGGAGGGAACTCCCTTCAGACTTCCGTAGTGACCTTTCACTTAAATGTAAGTCTTAGTGAATGAAGCACTTTCCTTAAGATGACCAAACCCCCAATCTAAGCCATCCCCTCTCTGACTTCCCTGTTATGTCCTTTCATCTCTCTCTCTCTCAATATGCACTCACTGCGTGTTTTAAACTATTGTCCACTTATTAGTAGGTTTTCTTTTTTGGTAATTGTATGTGTGTGTTTGTTTGTGGCTGTGCTGGGTCTTCCTTGCTGTTTGGGCTTCTCTCTCGTTGCAGCAGGCAGGGGTTACGCTCATCATGCTGTGCGGGCTTCTCATTGTGGTGACTTCTCGTTGCAGAGGCTGGGACCGAGGGCACACGGGCTCAGTAGTTGCTGCGTCCGTGCTCTAGAGCGTAGACTCAGCAGTTGTGCACAGGCTTAGTTGCTCTGAGCCATGTGGGGTCTTCCCGGATCAGGGTCAGGGGTGGAACCCGTGCCTCCTTCATTGGCCGGCGGATTCTTTACCACTGAGCCACCAGGGAAATTCTAGTGTACTTTCTTGATGCATCTCTCCCTCTAGACTAGAAACTCCAAGAGATCAAAGTGTGTGACTGTCTTGCTTACCACCCCAAGCTAGCTCTGTGGCTGACATAGTGTAGAGACACAAAATCAGTATTTTGTGAATGAATGATTATGCATTCATTGGCTTACTTATAAGATAGGTATTAGAGTAGGCACCAGCCATAATTCTTCAGGGGAAAAGGGACCCATCCTTTTGGTTTTCCACAGTGAGTCTGTCCTTCCTTCTGTTTATGCCTCCCTCCTTTCCATCTTTCCTTCTGTCCCTCTTTCCAGCCTTCGCTGGAAAGCGAAGGATCATTTCCATGATCCAAGTGATTTCTGTTTAACAGTCTTTCTTCTTTAAGCTTCAAGATGATGTCTAGGACACAAACTCCAATTCAGGAGGAGAGCTTGTTATCTTCTGCTCCATCTCTACTCTATCTAAGCTCAATCTTCCATCAATCCTCTTCGTCCCTACACATGCCCACCATTTGTTTCTTTCGCCTCAATCATGGCCCTTTCTGTAATTCACCTTGTCCTTTTAATCCTGTCTCGCTTCCTGCAGCATGTTGAATCCATTTATCACTCAGCACAGTGTTTCCTTTTTTTCCTTTCAGCCACCT